TATATGAGTGCTCTATTGACTTTATGCCAGAAGAGGCACCAGATCTCACTATAGATGGTTGTGAGTCACCATGTGGGTGCTGGGAATTGAACTCAGGTCCTCTGGAAGAGCAGCCAGTGCTCTTAACCTCTGAGCCATCTCTCCAGCCCCCTAAAATTAAGGTTGTTAGGGTAGGCTCTAATCCAATATGACTTGTGTCTTCATAAAAAAAAGGTCAAACTTGTGTGCAGACAGACACCCATAGAAAGGAGGTCAAGTGAGGTCACAGGCAAAATGGCCATTTACAAACCAAGGCAACAATGGCCTGACAGACTGTTCCCAGGCAGCCCCCAGGGGAAAAAAAAAAAAAAAAACCAGTCCTGCCTGACCTCAGGATCTTCATTGCTAGCCGGCAGCAGTGAGGGGCAATGACTTTCTGTCGCTAAGACACCCTCTGTGCCGTCCTGTGTGGGAGAAAGCTTAACGCTTTTCCTTTCCCATTCTCCTCTCTTCACAGGATCCCTTGATCTCGCACCTGCTGAGGGAAAAATATGTTTGGTAGGAGCAAGGTGTGAAGTGCCCGTCTCGCCCTGGGCCTCCCGGTGTGCCTGCCCCTCCACCTTAGCCGGGTCTCCGGGTCTCCGCCTGCGGCTGACTCCCAACAGGCAGGCTTTGATGCCACTGCAGACTGCTGAAGCCGCTTCTCTTACCCATCTTCCAAAGAGTTCATCCTGGTGAGAGGTCCCGTGTGTGTGTGTGTGTGTGTGTGTGTGTGTGTGTGTGTGTGTGTGTGTCCCGCCCTCCCCCGCCCCACCCCCACCCCAGCATCCTGGTACAGCAGGGTTCCAAACCTGAGCAGAAGCGGTTGGCCTCCCCTCTCAATTACCATAGAAATTAAGATTCAGCCTGGGGTGGTGGCGCATGCCTTACTTCGTTCTAGGTAGGACAGCCAGAGCTATGGAGAAAGACCTTGTCTCAAAATAAATTAATTAATTAAGATTCACTCGATTTACTCACACAAAACACACACACACACACACACACACACACACACACACACACACACACACACAGCCGGCCGCCTTCCTGATTTTTGCTGTATTAGCGCCACCCAGCGGTGAGCCTGAGTTGCACACGCGGGCTCAGAGAACTCACGGGACTCAAGTCCTCCTGGTGGAGTGGCATCATCAAACACCAGAGAATCGACCAGGGCTGCTGTTAGGCTCAGAGGTTAAGAACACTGGATGCAAGGCATGGTAGTCCATGTCTTTAACCCCAACACTCGGGAGGCAGAAGCAAGCAGATCTCTGTGAATTCGAGGCCAGCCTGGTTTACAAAGTGAGTTCCAGGAGAGCCAAGGCTACACAGAACAAAAAGAGCATGTATGCTCTTCCAGAGAACCAGGGTTCACTCCCCAGCATGTACATGGCGGCTCACACTTATAATTCCAGCACTGAGAGAGAGGAATAATGATTGTGATGAGTTCAAGCCAACCTGGGCTACATAGTAAGCTCCAGACCAACCTGGACTACAGCCTGAGTTTGTCTCAAGAAACAAACAGACAAAAGTGTTGGTAAAAGAGAGATTTTGGACAGTCCTGTCATAGTCTACTTGGCGGTCATAACAAAAACCACAGGCTGTGAGTTAGACAGCAGACGTCATTTTCTCACAGTTCGGGGGCCTAAAAGGCCGTGGTCAGTTCGAGCCGATGGAGGCCCTGGGGGAAGCACTCCTCCTGGCTGTAGCCAAGCTGTGTTCTGGCTGTGTCCTTACCCGGAGCAGAGACATCTAGCATCTTCCTGATCTCAGAGCAGCAGCCTTCGACTAGAGTCTTTCCCTGGGAGTCCATTTGTCCATCTCTATAGATTTCTCCAAAGACACCAGGCTAGGCTTCAGCATTAAGAATCTCAAGGAGTCGAGCGTGTTAATGCTTAGTGTGGTGGTGTGAATAGGTATGCCCCCATAGACTCATGTGTTTGAATGCTTGGCCCATAGGCAGTGGCACTATTAGGAGGTGTGGCTTTGTTGGAGGAAGTGTGTCAATGTGGGGGTAGGCTTTGAGTTTTTGGGGGTTTGTTTGTTTGTTTTTGAGACAGGGTTCCTCTGTGTAGCTTTGGAGCCTGTCCTGGATCTCACTTTTGTAGACCAGGCTGGACTCGAACGCACAGAGATCCACCTGGCTCTGCCTCCCGAGTGCTGGGATTAAAGGTGTGCGCCACCACCACCCAGCTTGAGGTCTTATATGCTCAAGCTACACCCACTGTGACACACAGATTCCTTCTGCTACCTGTGGATCAAGATATAGAGCTCTCAGCTCCTTCTCCAATAACATGTTTGCCTGCATGCTGCCATGTTTCCTGCCATGATGATTAAACCCCTAAAACTGTAAACTAGCCTCAATTAAACATTTTCCTTTATGAGGCTGGAGAGATGGCTCAGCAGTTGGGAGCACTGGCTGCTGCTCTTCCAGAGGACCCGGGTTCAATTCCCAGCATCCACATGGCAACTCACAACTGTCCATAATTCCAAGATCTGACACCCTCACACAGACATCTACACAGGCAAAACACCAATGCACAGAAAATAAAAATAAATAAATCATTTAAAATAATGTTTTCCTTTATAAGAGTTGCCGTGGTCGTGGTGTCTCTTCATAGAAATAGAACCCTAACTAAGACACTTAGAATTCATGGCTCAGGCCTAGAATTCCAACACTGGGGAGGCAGAGGCAGAAAGATCACTGGGATTTATTGGCTAGCCAGCCTCACCAAATCAGTGAGCTCTAGGATGTTGAGGCCTTCACTCTAGAAAGGTGGGGGGAGGGGCTGAAGAAAGCACCGAAGTTGACCCGTGGCCACCACATGTGTGCACACCAGTGCACCCACATACAACCAAACACATACAAAGAACAGTTTTGAAGAGACATGGGCCAGTCCATGCCACCCATGCACTGAACTCTATAATGTACAGGCATTTCCTGGACCTTCCTCCCCCCCCCCTTTTTTTTTCTATGGGTTCTCGCTCTTGCCTAGGTTGGCTGGAACTTCTGGGCTTCAGTCAGCCTCTAGCCACACATTTCCAGTAGCCAGGATTCAGGTATAGGCCCCCGGCCTGACTCACGGGCCTTCATTAAGATGGCCACACAGGAACTATCTCCTCCTCACCGCACCCTGCCTTCTCCCTCCAAGTTTTCCCACCTCTGACCTTGCAGGTACAATAATGAGAGGATTCGCAAGTGTATTGCCTGCAGATCCGAAGATGAGTCGTTCCTGTGTGAGAGGAAGGAGCCTGGAACTTCTGATGGAAGCACACTCCTGCCAAGCCCAGGAGGTGCCTTAGGAGCACCGCTCTACCAAAGCGTATTCTCACGGCAGTGCGCATCCCTAAGCACGCTCGACTTGTTCACCTGTGCCACGGTAAAAGCAAATTTGGGGATGCATGGTCTAGCCTCTCCTCAGGCCATTTGAGCCTTTAACCTCTGAACTGCCACCCCCAGTCAATCACCACCCATATCTCTCCCAGAATGCCCTGCGTGATGAATACATATCTACTCAAAAGCAGCCGTTAGGCCAGGTGTGGGGACATGCACCTTTAATCCTAGCACTCTGGAGGCAGAGGTGGGTGGATTTCTGTGAGTTGAAGCCAGCCTGGTCTACATAGGGAGTCCCAAGCCAGCCAGGTATACCCGGTGAGACCCTGTCTCAAAACAAAACAAAAGGAGGTAATTGGGGTGGATGAAATGGCTCAGTAGGTTCTTACTGCCAAGCCTGAATTTGATCCTTGGACCCACGGGGTAGAAGGAGAGAAGTGACTCAAAAAATTGTCCTTTGAACTTCACATATTTACCGTGGCATGTACACCTCCTCCCAGATAGATAGATAGATAGACAGACAGATGCATGGGTGGGTGGATGGACGGACAGACAGATAGATAGAGTGTTGCTGGAGAGCTTCTCTCCAGGCTCCCCAAGCCCCGCAGTCCCACAATCCACTTATAAAATAATCACTCAGACGCTTATATCACTTATAAACTGTATGGCCGTGGCAGGCTTCTTGCTAACTATTCTTTTATCTTAAATTAACCCATTTTTATAAATCTATACCTTGCCACGTGGCTGGTGGCTTCTCAGCGTCTTCACATGCTCTTCTCCTGGCGGTGGCTGCAGTGTCTCTCCCCTCAGCCTTCCGCTTCCCAGAATTCTCCTCTCTCCTTGTCCCGCCTATACTTCCGTCACTGGCCACCAGTGTTTTATTTATATAGAACAATATCCACAGCAATAGAGGGTGGATAGATGGATAGATAGATAGATAGATAGATAGATAGATAGATATGGATGGATAGATAGACAGACAGACAGACAGACAGATAGATAGATAGATAAAAAAGTGTAATTTTAAAAGAGAAAAAGAGAAGGTGAGTAGCCGCACATGCCAGATAGATAGAGGATGGATGGATGGATGGATGGATGGATGGATGGATGGATGGACAGATGATGGATGGATAGATGGATGGATGGATAGATAGATAGATAGATAGATAGATAGATAGATAGATAGATAGATAGTGGATGGATGCCGTACATGCCAGACAGATAGATAGATAGAAAAGTGTAATTTTAAAAGAGCAAAAGAGAAGGTGAGTAGCCACACATACCAGGCACTGTGTTGGGCCCCAGCAGTGCAGAGGGCACATGGCTTACTCTCACAGGATCTACTTTTGGTGACAGGGCAGAGGGTGGATAAACAGTGATACAATTAGAACTGGTCACGTTGGGGAGAGCCCCCTGTGCCCCGAGAGCTTGCCCAGGAAACACTGGACCTTGGCGCTGTCCTCGGAAGGACTCTGAGTGGGGTAGGAACAGGGGAGAAAGAGGAGCATTTCCTGAGCTGCCTGTTGGGCACAGCGCCAAGGTCACACGGCTCTCTGAAGGTGAGAGGACGATACACTTAGTGTTTTAACACAGAGCTGTCACCCTCCAGCTATTTCTGCACAGAGGGTCCTCTGCAAGCCTTCGGGGAAGGTGTGAGTCAGGGCTGAGCGCTCACATGGAGGCCCGACTGAACAGGGGTGACTTCCACATTCACTCTGGGTGCTGGCAGAATTCAACGTCTTTGTGGATGTAGGATTCACTGGGTCAAGCATCTCGCTGCTGGGTTCATGCCACACACACCGCCATCCAACTCAGAGCTGCGTCCATGCTAGGTAAGTGCTCTGCCACTGAACTTGCTTCATGATCCCCCCCCCCCCCAGGAAACGTTAAAAACAAAAAACATTTGTTCAGCTGGGCTTGATGGCTCACACCTAAAATTCCAGGGCTCGAAAAGCTGAGGTAGGACTGGGAATTTCCAGGACAATTTGCTGTGCTCTGGTAAGACCCTGTCTCCAAAACAAAAAACAACAAACAAGGAAACCGGCTATAGCCATAGTGGTCCTAGCACTGAGGAGGTGGAGGCCAGGGGATCTGGAGGTAAAGGCCTGCCTGAGCCACAGAGGGAGTTAGAAGCTAGTCGGGGCTACGTGAGTTCTTTTCTGAGACAGAGACAGAAACGGAAAGGGAGGGAAGGAGAGACAGACAGAGGCAGAAAGACAGAGAGATCTATTTACCCATATATGAGGAAGAAGGTCCAGCTCAAAGAAATATTCTGACCATTCAAACCTTGTGATTGCTTGAGCTTTTCCCGGTGACTTGCAGGACCATGGGCCATTCAGAGCAGCTGTTTGTAGGAAAACTCCCAATTCAGAGCGCCCCCTAGTGTTAAAGTAGCAGAGGTGACTCCAGACTCAGACTAGGTGAGGTTTTTTTTGTAAGAACACCCTGTGGTGGTGGTGGTGAGGGGCGAGGTTGGGGTTGGGGGCGTGGGGGAGGGTGTCCAGTAATGGGAAGGGCAGCCTCTTTTCTGCAGTCTGGCACATAGAACAGCCAAGTGGTGTCCTACTCCAGCCAGGACGAAAGGCCAGTGCTACAACTCTATTCACCCTGCAGCATCCTTCTTCCAAGCCGGTGACTGGACCCCGACCTGGGACTACAGCATTTCTAGGTAAATGCTCTGCTCGTGAGCTTGTTGTGCAAGTTTTCTAGGGGAAATATAAAGGAAACATCTATGCACCCCAATAAGCAGAGTACAGACTGGCCACAGAAAAGGTCTAACGTACCTCATGGACAGGAATGGCCTCCTGCACTTTTGCTGCATTGGTTAGGAGGTTAGGAGGAAGCCTGGGGTCCCACCCACACGAAGGGTGTGACATCAGGGGGAGGAATCTTGAGCTTCACCTTGACATCTGTTTGCCATAAAGGAACAATCAGGAAAAGAGAGAGGCATGTGCAAAGGCCCCGGGACAGAAGGAAGCATGACAATCAGAAACAGGAAGAAAATGAGAAGGAGCAGGGTGAATGAGAAGGACTCTGTGCTGGGCTTTCTCTCTCTCTCTCTCTCTCTCTCTCTCTCTCTCTCTCTCTCTCTCTCTC